AAAAAAACAACAAAACACACTAAACATCCTTTACAATTTGAGCCAAAGGTCACCACTTTTACTATCAAAGTAAGGCAGTGCGGCACACAGAAAAATGTGCGGTGCGACACTTTGATATTTTTACAATGCACTAACCTGCTTTCATCAGAATGACACACAACGCTTGTGCTCCAGGAAATGAGTTCTACGGTTTTGAGCTTCAATTTCAACAATTATATATTTCCTACACTAGAATTGATGACAAAGGGTGCTCTGCGTAAGGGCGCGTTGCGCCCCAACTTCTACTGTATCACAGTCTCGCTTTATAAGCAAAAATAGAAAAAAAAACTTTTCACAAAGGTACTATAACACATTTTCACACCATTGAGAAGTTCAAGGAAAAGTAGGGCACCCATGTCCCTACAATAGGGTAAACGATAATATTGCGAAATGTATCAAAACGAATGAAATATTTTGAACTGTACGCTGCGCGCACAATGCACAATATAATATCCATCTTCAGATCTGATTCAAAACATATGGCAGTCATTTCCACAAACGTCAGTCACAACACGGAAAGACTTACGTATTTCCAATACGATTTATGGCTCAACAGTTACACAGTTATTTTGTTTAAATCAATTTCACGACTACCGGAGAATAAAATGTCAAGCCAGTCAAATCGTCTGTTAGCTTGGCTATACCCTACGACCTTGAACACGCAATTTGGCAACGTAATCAATCAGTATGATTACTCACATTTGAATCACAGGCAATCATGACAATATGTCATACTCTGAAGACGTTCCGGAGTCACTCGGACATCTAATTTTTATAAAGAAATAGTTTGGCAGCAACGCGGTCACAGCGCACAACAACCTGCTTCGCTCAGTGAAGACTTCGAACGACGATCAGACAGTCAGACGCTGCCTCCGGAATCCCGAGAATCTGTCGACAAGAGAGACGCTCATTACTTCCCAGAGACCTTGAATACCACTATCAGAGTCGAGAATAATCGAGTGGCGACAGTAGTGCGACTCGCGAGGGCCACAGACTGAAACTTCTTGTCCGTCGAAGACCACGCTTACCTGCGGCGGGTGACCTGTGCGGCTGCGCCTCCTCCGGCCTGGGCGGCGCGGCGAGGATCACCCCGGAGGTCCTGGACAGCGGCGGCGGGTGCAGCGGGAAGAGCCTCCGCTCCGCCTGCTCCGCCCACATCAAGTCTTGCTGCTCGTGCTGCTCCGCCGTGCTGCCGCCCCCTTCGCCCCCGCCGCCCCCGGGACCCGACGGCCTGGGCGGCGGCGGCGCGCCCGGCGGCATCACGTTGGGCACGTACTGCTCCGGTGTCAGGTCGAACGAGAAGGCCGAGTAGCCCCCTCCGGCGCCCGGCTGGTGGGAGGGCGCCCCGCCGTAGCAGCCGGGCGTCCCCGTGGGGGTGGGCGGCGTGGCCGTCACGTACGGGCTGAGCTCCTGGTGCGACAAGTCCGGGACGCGCTGCACCGTCGTGTCGGACCACGGCGGCGAGGGGTTCCACTGCTCCATCAGCTCGGTCGGGTCCGTGATCGCGGCCGTCTTGACGTGCAAGAGGCCGCGGTGCCTGGCTGACACGCCGCTCAGGGCGTGCTGCCGCCCGGCCACCAGGACGCTCGTCGCCGCGCCGCCGCTGCGGTCCTCGGCCGACGACGCCGGCGTCACCACGCCGCCCAGGTGGTCGCCGGGCGAGGGTGAGGACGACGATCGCGGCGACGTGGACTCTGGTGGGCTCCGCGAGTCCAGCGGGTGGTGGTGGATGTGGTGGTGGTCGTCAAGGGCGGCCGCAGACGCCTTGCGCTTGTTCAGGCCGTTGTGATGAGGAGAGGGGTGGTGGCCGACGGGGTGGTGGTGACCATGCAGGTGCAGGTCTTCGTGGTGCGTTGGGAGGTGCAACGCGTATCCAGGCAGCTGCAAACGCGTAAACGATTGTTTATTGCTTGTTTTGTGAAACAACAAATCTGAAACATGGTAAAGTCTCTGTCAGTCTTACCGTAGATCCAGCGTCACTGTGCCGGGAATAGTCGACGGGCTCGGCGCCGTGTGGCAGCGGCCGGTAGTGAAACCTGGCCGCCACGTCGTCCGGACCACCGAGGGCGGACGTCGTAGGGTACTCTGGGCTCCTGGAGGACGGCGTTGACGCAGGAGTGTGCAGGCCGCCGCCGGGCGCGACGTGCGGTATGGGTGTGTGCAGCGTGGTGACGGGGTTGTGGGGGATGGGCACGTGCAGTTGGTGCTGCTGGTCCAGGTGGTGGAGCCCTCCCCCGTTGCCGTTCACGTGGTGGTGATGGTGGTGGGGGTGGTGTGGGTGCGGGTGCTGGACGTGGCCCGGGTGGTACGCGATGACTCCAGGCGAGGGCGCCTGGTGCGGCTGAAGGTAGCCGGGGTGGTGCTGGTACTCCATGTACGGCGACATGTACGGCGTGGGCGTGGACGGCGCCGGTGGTTGGGTGGTGCGCTGCCCCGCCTGCTGCGCCTCCAGGGCCAGCCCGTACTGCAGCTTGCTCTGCATCGTGTAGTGCTGGTAGAGCCAGCTGTTGGCTGCCATCACGGCCGCCTCCCGATCGCTGCAAAAGAAAGTGGCAGGCGTTTCGTTTCGTCCCGTTTCTGGCGAATGCTCTTATTCGGAGGCGCCGTCCGAGGGTGTCCTTACCTGAGGACCTGGTTGGTGCACACAATGACGGGGGTCTGACTGTTGTCCATGTTGTCCTTGACCTGCAGCACGCAGTGCACCCACAGCCAGTCCCCGAGGCGCCGCTGCAGCCGCAGGAGCAGGATACACGACCGCTCCTGCTCCGACTGGGTGACTGCAAGACAGCAACAGACACACGATTAGAGCCCAAGAAGCGTCGCCCGTTGCAACGGCAACCACCTTCCCCGCTCCTCGCGCCCGCTTTCGTGGCTGAAACGCGACACAGTAGTATCGGACAAGTAACAGCAGGTTGCGTTGTTTTCGTTTTAGCCTCCCCGCCTGCTGTGAAAAATGTACCGAGCGGGCATATGTTATTCGACTTGTACCAAACAAAGATATTGAGCCACAGGCTTATTGACATCTTCAGGGTATACCCAGGGTCACACTTGGACACCGCAACATGAAATATGAAGTATCACATTATCATCCTTTTTTATGGACTACTCTATCTTGTGCTCGACCGCCAGACAGTTTGATAAGTGAGCGCGAGACACGTGCAAACTTTCATGAACCATAGATTCGGACTCGAATTCGTACGATTTGGTATCGCGCAAGAGGCAAGGGGAGAGAAGGGAGGGGGTCCCAGCCCGGCAGGGCAGGCCCAGCATTGCTTGTTAGTTCTCACACGGTATCACGAGCCAGCAACAATGCAATGACTTCATTGTCTGGGGCTAAGGGATGACCTGACGGAGGATGCGTGCGTGCGTGTGTGTGAGTGTGTGCGCGCGTGGGCCCCTCGGTGTGAGTGCAGGCGCGCGCGCGGACCATTGCAGGAGGGCCATTGTTGGGGCGCCAAGGAGCAGATATCGCACGACGGCCGTAATTCACCTTCGATATCTTGTTAATGAAGGCGATTCTAAGCCCCGGGTACGCCTCTATGGCTGCTGCCTCTTTATGAATCACCAAAAATTGGTTTTAAGGTGGCGGTTGAGGGGGCGGGGG